TGTCCTCCAGGTACAGACGAGAAGCTGTCTCTGGGTGTAACTGGCGAAACTTTTCCATGTCGTGACCAATGTTGCCTCCCACGTCTACCACGAGAGGGGACTCGCTATCCGAGTCTGACTCGAGAATGGCGTTGTGGGGGAAAATGTCCACCCACCCGGCCTGGTTTGCCATGACGCCGCCCATGACGTGGTTGAAGGATTCACCCTCGACCGGGTGGGACTCGTAATAGTGGAACATATCTCCCTTCCAACCTTTCGCGTACTGGAAAACGCCATTGCTGGGATCCAAAGGATTTTGGTAGCCGTTCTGAGCCAGGTACATTGGCATCTTGAAGAAGCACGGAATTGTCGCATCGTAACTGAGTCTGTTACCCTTTGCTAAAAGTGTTGATTTATGGAGAGACAAACAGATGGTTGATCCACTCCCCGAACACTGATTGGGTGAAAGAGATACTCAATTTGGTCGGCTTGAAAACCCCTATCGAAGTCTCTTGCAGCACGTGGTTTGCTGCTAAATGGCGGAGTAGGCGAACTAGATCATCATATCTGTTTAGCTGCCAGGTCTGTCTCTCCCTCCATCCATCCCGCCCTCTCTCCCTCCCTCTCTCTCACACACACACACACATTCTCCGTGTCTCATATTTAAGGGCACTGACAGAGAAGGTTGGGGTCGCAAGACACCATCGCTGCCAGCTGCTCCCTTGTCATGGCGCCGTCACCGCGCTCATGCCATTTGTCGAACAGCTGCAGATCCTTCGAAACTTTCAGAGCTGCCCCAAGCGCTGGCTGATGCACATTTCAGCCCCAGTCTCGGACTTCACACAAGGGTCAAAGTGAGTACCTGACCCATGCAGAGTCTCAATACGAAATCCCATGGCGTCTCGAGCCGAGATACGAGGGCATACGCTGCCAGGAGGGTCTGGATCCTTTTACCATCGTTGCTGAAGGTGTCGGCGTTGATTCCGTTCAGTGTCTGCATAAGCTCTTCAAATTTGTGGTCGTCCGTTCCGTTCGTTCCATTCATTGAGGACGCCATCCTATACCGCTATTCTCGGGTGCTTACATTGACTGTTGGAAGCTGGCGTGTGTTAGTCTTAAACATTGTGATAAAGGCACTCGTGGCACGATGAAAACGAACTTCGATGAGAATCGCTGGATCATTGGTCAGGGAAAGCCCAAGTAATTTTTCCGACCCCGAGTACGCAAGGTTTGCTTATTACACCACAACCGCTGCCGGACCGTGTAAGCGAACCCAGCCAATGAGGCACCGGAAGCAGTGGCTTGTTGGCACTACGACCTGGCCATTGTATCTGACAGAGGCTTTGAAGATTTGAAGAGAGAGGGTTGGGTGTCAAGTCTGGATTTGTTTGTCAGCTTTTTGCGACTGTTAAATGGAGAAGATTCCAACAATTTCAGATGCTGGTCGGTATTTGCCCCTGAGACTTGACTCCACAAGATGTTCGCGTCAGTGCCTGTGTTGATTGCATTGACCCTGGTTCCTATTGTCTACCGGGTGCGCTTCCATCCTCTCAGCCACGTGCCCGGCCCAATTATCGCCAAGGTCAGCTCCTTGTTCCTGCACTTCATATGCTACCTTGGAATAGAGGGACGCGTATTGCGTTACTATCATCAAAAGTACAAGACGAAAGTGCTCCGAGTTGCGCCCAACTCCGTCTCTATCTCTGACAGCGAAGCCATACGCGACATCTACATAGCAGAGGGTGGGTTTTCAAAAGATGACCGGTACAGGAACTTCAATCTCGGGCCCATTGTGTCCATCTTCTCGGCCATAGACACGGCATACCGAGACGTGCGCGCCAAGGCAGTAGCACCTCTCTTTTCACCTGCGCAAATGCGGACGGAGAGCGGGTCCGGAGGGGTCATTGGAAGCTGCGTGGCCGAGTTCGTGAACCAACTGTGCGAGTTCAAAACGGCCCGCATCAAGACGGACATATTGGATCTCTGCGCGCGACTCTCCATCGATGTCGTGACGGCCTATTTGCTTGGGCAGCGGTACGGCGGACTCGACGAGAACAAGCATCGCACCCTCAAGGAGAGGCAGCTGGACGACGCCAAGCTCAGTGCCAACCCTTTTATCTTCGCCATTGTGGCGTTCGCTCGCTTCTCGCTACTGCCCAACAGCATCTTCCGTTTCGTGTACGCCATGTCTCAACGCCTCAGCGCCAATGAGCAGGTCATCGAGTCATTCGTCAAGCTTGACCACTTCGCCGAGGAGGTCATGGGCAGCACAGTCTCGGCCACCAAGCCGCATTACTACCACGAGCGCCTCGTCCAAGCGGGCATCTCGCACGCCGAGGCTGCCGCGCAGAGCAAGGCCATTATCTTCGCGGGTGCCGACTCGACGGCCGTCATGCTGGCCACGATACTGTTCCATTTGGTACAGAGTGAATCTGCGCGGGTGCGGTTGCTGTGTGAGATCCGTTCGGCTAGACACCAGGACAGTGGGCTACCGTTCCTACGCGCCGTTGTCAAGGAGGGTCTGCGCCTCGGCATGGCGAATCCAACGCGACTGACGCGCGTGGTGCCTGCCTCGAGCCCCGGGCTGCGCGTTGGCGACATACTCATCCCGCCTGGCTCGATTGTGGGCTGTGCTGCTTACAATCTTCACCATGATCCCGACGTCTTTCCAGACCCCTTCACCTTCCAGCCCGAGAGGTGGCTGGACGATGGAACAGACCATGGACTTCGACGGTCCGGCATGGAAAGATCTATGATTCCTTTCGGGGCGGGCTTGAGAGCGTGCATCGGCAAGAATCTGGCCATGAATCAACTGCATGAGACCGTCATGGCCGTCGTGGAGAGTGAAGTCTTGGAGGGGGCTCGGACGTGCCAAGAGAAGATCGAGGTGATTGAATGGTTCAATGGTGACATCAAGGGTCATCGCATCAACATCGAATGGCGGCCGCAATTGTAGTTTGGGATAGAGTTGACTCAAAAGCGAGGAGATATGAAGACTTGGCTACACAGTAGCTAATAGACCCATCGACATAGGTAAACAATAGGTAGGCGCACATCCCACTTCGATAGATGCACACCGCATTCTGTCGTGCGCACACCCCACGCTTGAAGAGAGCCCGCGAGGCCCGCGAGTAGCACCCAGAACGGATCCCGGAGTTCCATCCGAGCTCCTGCTCGGTTTCGCAATTTCCAGGGCTACCTTGAAGGCCATTTCTAGGGGTTATCTTAGGGGCTGTCCTGGGGGCTGTCGTTGGTACTATTGCAGGCTTTCGTAGGCTTTCCCCATGAGCTTACCCAGTGAACGTACCCCGTGAGCTGTCTTATGCACAATTGTAAGCGGTCTCGTTGGCGGTCTCGCTGATTGAACGGATCAACAGTGACGGGTGCTCCTATACGGATTTTTTTGGGCGCACATCCGGGCCCTACATCTGATGCTCTCTGGGCGCAGGTTAAAGGTATTCTAATACGTAATAGGTTCGATTCCTATTGGCGCTGGTACTCTGGTGTTGCGGTGTTTGTTATTTCTGGCGCGGGAAACGACATGAGATGTGCGTCTATCGAAATGAGGTGTGGAAGCGGAACGGTTTATGCTCGTTACGACTAGACCAGAAGGCGATCACTAGTAGTCCGTCACTAAACAGTAACTTATACTAGTTGTAGGCTTGAGAGCGTACGACCGCTTTCCCACACACATTTGGTGTGTAAAGTACTGTTTACCTAAAAATAGAAGCTTTAGAAGAGGTAAATTCATTCCGGAGGTGTAAGCGAATCGGATAAACCTCGGAGAAAACCCGGAAATCCGGTGCCGTTAAAGAATCACGTGCTCGGGTACAAAATGAAGAACAATGAGTGCCGAAGCTACTAATCCACTAAGATACCACGTGTGGACCATCCTGTGCCACCCGAAGGCTGCGAAGTCAGCATATTAAAGGTAACCCAAAGGGGCTTAGCATCTTGGCATGTCTGAGGGACTGAGGCAAGCCATCCCAGCCCTGGCAATGGCATGCGAATCTGCACGTCCAGGATCATCAGCCGCACATCACACCCACGCTTGCCACGCACCTACCCAGCAGAAGCGAGCTATCTAATAGTACGTCTATGCATTTGCACCAAGGAACGTGATCAGTGGGAGTCTAACCACAATTACCACCATACATCCCATAGCTTACTGCTGTTTCGACGGCTTGAATACATATTGGTCTTTGGGCGTAGCCAGCACAGCAACAGTCTGCTTCAAGGAAGCCTGCAAGCGCCTCGAAGAGTCCCCATGGGTTTGTAACCATGCCGTCAGACTCCCCTTACCTAAGCGGCAGGGACAATGGAGTGGGTGAGTGGGTGGGTCACAGAGACGCAAGTTAATGAGGGTGGCAGATTAGGCCATATCCATGCTACATAAGCATGTAGGTGGCCTCGTGGCCCAGTGCATAGCCCCCATTAATTCTCCGATCATAGGGCTCTTAGATGCTTCACTAGTGCACGCACTTCATCTCATTAACAGAGAATAGTTCCGATCCACTGGATTCGAACGAGAAGAATTCCATCTAGATTTATCTCGGGTTGGTCTGTTTGGTTTCTCTTCTTTGGCTTATCTACCACGTCCAGTCTGCCCTGGGATTAGTCACTTTTCCTTGGGCTTCACTGGGAAGTAAGGCGGTCCTCTCAAGGCTGCCTTGAATGGGATGATGGGTTCATTCAATGGTTCCATCAGCCCGACTGCCCTCGGAATGCCCAATGTGACTGGCAGGCAGACAGCGTACTGCCCTCCGATTACAATGGGTAAGCTTACCATAAGACTCACTTGAGCTGAGCGATCTACGCTAAATGGCCGGATCCATCTGTTCCTTGCGGCTCAGCATCAACGCTTTCAAATTCTGGTCTCTCTCGTGCACCCTTCTGCCAACACGATAGTGCTCCTGGTTGTGCCAGCTCTTGATGGCTATTGGTGGCGCCCTCCCGTCTCCGGTGGCAGCTAGTATGATAATCAGCCACGTTGCCGTTTTTGTCAAGACAGGCGTCAGACAATGTGCCGTGAGGACGTTGCCCCCATCCCTCCTTCGCCGGAATGCTACCTTGCGGCCGACACCGAGCATTTCGCAGTAAGCCATGGAGCGTTCTTACCTTATATATAGGCGGTAGAACTCTCGGTGGCCGGCACTAAAACAGAGACAGGGCCAATCTGGAGCCCTAGAACTGAGAACCTCACTTCTTGTCTTTCGTTTGATCTAGGTTTCAAGCACCGCAGCGATCATGTACACTTTCCGCCTGAGTTCGTCGCTCTTCGCAATCGGGCTTCTTTTTTACCGCAATTCTATGTCAGCTTCTGCTGCTTCTCTTACTTCTTGCCCGCACCAGAACCTCGGTCAGAAGTTCGATTATGTGATTGTTGGGGGGGGTACTGCTGGTCTAGTGTTGGCAAATCGACTCACCGAGCAGTCTGGCGTCACAGTTGCCGTTATTGAGGCTGGCACCTTTCCCGAAGACGTCGTGGGAAACCGGACTCAAGTTCCAGAGTACGCAGGCTCCTTCGATGGTCCAGATGGAGCTGCAATTGAATGGGGCTTCACGACTACTCCGCAAATTGTCGGTCCTTCCTTGTGCCCTTTCTCCGTCACCGTGACAAGGGAATTTGGACTAACTGGACAATATGCAGGGGCTGGATAATAATGTTTTCCCTTATTATCGAGCAAAAGCTGTGCGTTTATGCTGGCGTGCTCACGCCCCTCCTCCTGTGGAGACTTTCAATTAATCTTCATCTAGCTGGGCGGTTGCAGCACTATAAACTTCATGGCATACTCTCAGACATCCAAGGGCGCCCATCAGCGGTGGGCGGACGTGGTTGGCGACCAGTCGTACACATACGACGAGATGTTGCAGTATTACAGAAAGACGATGAACTTCACTCCTCCAAATGAAAAGGCGAGAGGGGCCAATGCGACTGCTCAGTACAACCCGGCTGACACGGTAACTGGAGGACGGCTTGACGTCACTTATGCGTCCTACGCCCAACCCTGGAGCACCTGGGTCGCAAAGGGGCTGACAGCCATCGGCATCCCGAAGGTGAACGCATTCATCAATGGCAACCTCATAGGACAATCCTGGCAGCTGAATACCATAACACAATCCGACGGCTTTCGCTCCGATTCGGAGACCGCATACCTGCGCCCTTTCCTCAGCCGGCCAAATCTAGCAATCTTCAATGGCACTTTTGCTCAGCGCATCCTTTTCAATCGGGGTGCAGTAGCCACCGGTGTTCAGGTAACAGCAGCAGGTTCAACATGCTCCATCACCGCCAACAAGGAGGTTATTGTCTCGGCCGGCGTCTTCCAGTCACCGCAGCTGTTGCAGGTGTCCGGAGTAGGACCAGCAGCTCTGTTACAGAAGTACAACATCAGCGTTGTGGCAAACCGACCCGGCGTAGGCCAAGGCATGAACGACCATATCACTGTGCCCATTTCTTACCGGGTCAACGTGTTGACTTCATCTGCGGATGAGAATGCGACTTACTTGGCACAAGCCGTCAATCAGTTCAACACCCACGCCACGGGACCGCTGGCTAGTGCGGGAGGTGATTACTTGGGAATGGAAAAAATCCCGCAAGCGTTGCGGGCCAACTTTTCCGCAGAGACCGTGGAATGTAGGTGATGAGGCCCCATTTACCTACACGCACAAAAAAAACACACACAAACAACTGCCCAAAATTCTTGCTGACGTACTCACTGCAGTTCTGTCGACGTTGCCCGCAGACTGGCCAGAGGTGGTGTATGGGATATATCCAAACGGCGTCTCTGAGGCAGCTGAGTCTGTGCCGGGTGCTGATTACGCCACCTTGCTGGCGACACTGACCGCACCTCAGTCCAGGGGCAACGTGTCAATAGCATCACCGAATATGAGCGACGCGCCGCTGATAAATCCCAACCTGTTCACGGAGCAGTCTGATGTCGATGTTATGATCGCAGCGTTCAAGCGCGCACGCCAGGCGCTGGCATCCAAAGCCATGGCCCCGGTCTTGATTGGCCAAGAAATCATTCCCGGTCCGAGCGTGGATACTGACGAGCAGATCTTAGCGTATTTGAAGGAGGCGCTTAACCCATTGTACCACGCGTTCGCGACCAACAAAATGGGAAATGCGTCCGATCCTAATGCCGTCGTGGATAGCCATGGCAAGGTCCATGGCGTCAAGAATCGTGAGCTTCTTTAGCTTGTGCTTAAATCAACAAATGACTGACAGCTGGTCAGTGAGAGTAATAGACTGCTCCGCATTCCCGTTTTTACCGCCAGGTGAGTTTCGGTCATTTCAGCCCGGCCGATTTTTGGCTTATTCGAAATCACTGTCTAATCCATTATTCCGTTGTAGGGCCAGCCCCACAGATCCAAGTGTGTAAGTAGACGTTCCGCACATATCATGCCCAGTGACTGTTTAAGGCTGACAAAAACCAGACGTACTTGCCGAGAAGCTCGCGGATGACATCAAGAATACTCAGTATTAGAGGAGTCTTTCTTTCACGGGCTCTTCAAGTGCCACGAAATCGCTGTTAGTTATACTGGAGGGAGTTACACCTGATTTTGTATGTGGAAGATTGTGTAAGAGGCTTGGGAGACTTCTCTTCGTCCATTTAGCATGTGGACACAATTCGAGATTTGATTGGGCTTAATCTCTTGCAGTCGCGTTAAAATACAAGTAGGAGAGCATCATAAATGCTGGTTTGAGCAAAGTGGATAAAGCATTATAGAAGCATGGAATTGAGCGTGAGGTGGGATCCCGCATGGAATTGCAAGCAGCTCAATGGTCGTAGCGAGTTGAGAAACCTGCCATGAACACTGGTAGAAGTCCTGACATTCTAGATTCTATCAGGACGAGATGGAATTGTGTGATCTGGTTATTCAGGGAATTACATATAGACTATGGAATTAGCGTGTCGGAGATTAAGCCTACGCAGCAGACCTTGATTTGCTCTATGTGGCCTGAAAGGATCAGCGATTCACTTCACCCGCTCTCCTTTCTTTCATCGGTATCCTTTGACGTTGATGCTTGTCAGATCAAAAGGCAAGCTTGACGTCCATACCGGGCCATCTTGTGTCTCATCTGATGTGATCTTCGAGCTATGCTACGTCCCTTTCTTTTTCGCCTTCTTTTCCAGAAAGACATAGACCATCGGGTAGATCGAATCCACCACCTCTGAGCCCACGAAGAGGAACAACGTTGTAGGTTGTGCCACTCTCGGATAGCTATCGGCGTAATGCCAATACCGCCAGGCAAACAGCAGAATGGTCAAGCAAGTCCCACTCGCCCGATAAAACCTATGTTGTCCCACTTCAGTACTCATCAATCGGGGAAGAATGGAGTAGATCACGTACCAGATACCCAAGGAATGACCGGAGGTATTATTCCTTGACATCAACTGCGCCACCGAAGTAATGCTTATCAGGAGCTGGTCCCCATAACCGATATAAAAGGACGCAGCTTCGACGCCAACGGTCTTGATGAAGGTCCAAAACAAACCCGTCATCAAGATGGTACCAGACGTCACAATCCAGCCCATATTGTTCGCCACCAGCGGCGACCGCTTCCACTGATCGGGGCCGAACCGCCACGTCGTGTAGACGATAGCGACATCGATGAGCAGCCACGGAACGAAAGCGATCGTCTGAGCGGCCGAGGTCGGGGCCACGACGCCGAACAGAAACTCCCATGCTATATTCGCCCACCTGTAAAACCACCATGGGTCAGCTTCGCTGACGATACGCCGCGGGGCTCGAGGGGTCGGTACAAGCAAAGAAGTGGCATGCCGTAGGACTTGTCGCGGAACGCTTGGCGCACATAGAGGGCGTATGCGATGGTCCAGAGGAAGGAACTGATCAGGATCAGGGCATCTTGCACTTGAAGGTAGTACACCGGGGGCTGGTTTCGTCTATCGAGCGGGCTGAGAGGGAGGTGGAATGGCATCTTCTCTGATTGACTGGAGGACGCGAGGACGGATGGTCAGAGGCTGTCGGTCGGATCAGATGTGACCTTGCGTCGTGAAATCTTCTATCCTTCGTTGGATCTCAAGGTGGAAGATCTCACGAACAAAGAATTTTCACCTTTGCCCATAATGCCAAGGGCCAATCTTCGATGCATGATAATTGTCGACGCTGCGTTGTTTGACCCCAGTCGAGCAAAGATAATGGTGGTCTGCCGCACGTTTACTTGGGGTAAAGTAGGTTCCTATGTGGGCAGTTTTACCCGGGGTCCGATGCGGGGTGGTGGGGGTTCTGGACTGGACTGAGTTGACTCTCGGGGCAGTCCTGTGCATTGTGCTCGAGTCCTAAGTACTTTTCCAAGGTAACCACTAACTTACCGCCCCATGCCCATACCTAACTCAGCTCCTATACCCTACACTCACACTTGGCTCCCACACCTTTTTCCACCACACAAGTCCTGTCTAACCCTAACACCTATCTACCTTAATCACTAACCCTAACCTACCTTAGCCATGCCTCCGGCGATCCTTCCGGGGAGCAACTGTGATGAGACCACCCCAACCTAACCACGTGACTGAGTCAAAGATCTGAAGAAGATGGAAGCAAGAAGACCTAACCACCGCCATGGCTCATCAACCTCTACTCGAAAGCCTTTATCAAGATGGCCCAGCAGTCTACAAGGCGATCAGTGTGCTCCTCGTCCTTGCCACGGTACTCTATATCCACTCGCGTTCCGCCGTTAAGGATGTTTCGAGGTTTCCATTGATCGGACAGAATGTGGGGGGCTTCTCGAAGAGACGCAGGTACTTTGTCAACCATGCCTTGGAACTATTCCTCGAAGGATACCTGAAGGTGCCGTTCAATGTCGAGCATCATATATCCATCTTGCTGATCATTCTCAGTTCAAAGACTCTGTGTGGCGTGTCACTTCAACAGATGGTAGGTAACATGATGACTTTTCCTCATAGTGGTCCCGTACTTACATCTCACAGGCGAGGTGCTAGTGCTTCCTCTTCGTTACGCCGAGGAACTTCGCGAACTACCAGAGGATGTTGTTAGTAGCAATGCAGCCAACGAAATGGTCAGCCTATCATCCTCATTCGTTTGCTTTCCGAGTTCTCTGAATTGGCCTTTGTGGCTCGCAGACCTTCGAAACAAAATTGCTCGGCATCACTCCGGATAATCCATTAATGGTCCACGTCGTCAAGTCGGATCTTACCCACAACCTCTCTCAAATAAATGCATCGCTAGCCCTCGAGGTGTCGCGGACAGTATCTGATGAAATTGGGCTCTGTGAAGACTGGACGGAAATCAACATCTCTCAAAAGCTGCTCAAGATTGTGGCCATCGTTTCGGGACATGTCTTCCTCGGCCCTGATTTGTGCCGACGGGAAGAGTACCTCCACGCCAGTATCGACTTTACAGTCGATCTGTTCATTGCTATCGCTGCTCTTAAGCGCTGGCCAAAATCTTTGCGCTTTGCCGCCAAGTACTGGATCCCTCAACTCAAAACAGTCAACGAGCACCGGCGCCGTGTGCACGAGTTCCTAGTACCAATACTCCGGGAAAGGAGAGCACTTCGAGCCAAAGGCGAAGAGCCACCGAAAGACATGCTACAATGGCTCCTGGACAAGTCTGACCAGTTCAACGTACGGACTGATGAGGAATTGGCTGAAACCCAGCTTATCTTGGGCATGGCGGCCATTCACACTACGACCATGACAGCAACTCAAATGTAAGCCCCTGGCCTGAAGGCGACAGGTTTGGTGTACTGACGCTGAAATTCGTCATAGTATATACGACCTTATTGGATATTGCCCCGAAGTCATCCCCGAGCTGCGCGCGGAGATCAGGTCGGTCCAGGCAACCAACGGTGGCGTCATGACAACGCAAGCACTCTACCAGATGAAGCTCCTCGACTCGGTGATGCGCGAGTCTCAACGGCAGAACCCCAGCAACATCGTACGCATGCAGCGGTGCGTCCTGAAGCCGGTGCGCTTCTCAGACGGCACCGAAATCCCAGCCGGTACCTCGGTCGCCGTTCCTGCGCTTCCCACCCTGCAGGACCCCAAGCTATACTCGGACCCATCCAGCTACGATCCCCACCGCTTCGCTCGCCTTCGGGCAGGCCAGTCACAAGATCCCATCAACTATGCCAGCAAGGAGTTGTACCAATTCATCTCGGTGACGAAGGAGAACATGGGATTCGGTTACGGAAGACATGCGTGCCCGGGTCGCTTCTTTGCGGCGAATGAGATCAAGATGATCTGCGCCCGCATCATTCTGGATTACGACATCAAGATGCCGGATGGCATCAAGGCCCGCTATCCGAACGCTGTCAGGGGCAGTTCCATCACGCCGGACCGTACAAAGACCATCATGGTAAGGAAGGTTGCTGCCTAGCGTCCACGAGCTGGACACCACCCCGGGACCCTGCGTTACAGCACGAAGGCTCACGGCGCCGTCCTGTGGTGGAAAGCAGAATTTCGGGTGGGCGCTGAGACACGAGAAGAAACGCTGGAATTGGGCTATGGTACAGGTCTCTCGGCTCACTAGCTGAAAGGAGGGCAGCATATCGCATTTTTTTTGTACCGCTGTGCACGGGTTAGAATACCCCCTTATTTCATCCTCCATGTAGTCGTCCGCACGCTAGCAACCAACCACTCCCCTCAACGGAGGAAACCCTCCGAAGAAGCGGCCGTGCAATATAACAATAGACTCCTGACTTGCAAACCCCTCTCATTCATGGTAAACCACAAAAGGTTCAAAAGACCCGGGGCACGCACAGATGGGGACGGGCGATCTCAGTCGATCACCTCCAGGGCTGGTGCTTCCTCGGGGAAAAGAAATCGAGTGAGTAGGGAAGAGGACGTCGTTGTTCAAAGGGACACGCGTGTTTAAAGTCCGCATCGAAACCGATTCACGGATATTATTTGCAGTGGTGGTCTCACTCACTCACTGTAGCTATTCCTTCCAGGCAACGGCAACGACGGCGTTCGCTTCTTCGCTCGGCTGATGGAGGATGGATCATAAGGTAATAATGGAATTCGGGCGCTGTAGCTAGATGGGTCGATCATGCCGTGCGAAGTTTTTGTATGCGTGAGTTTTGGTTCTTTCCGTGGAGACTAGCACGCGAGCTTTTGAGGATTGGTGTTGATGTGATGATGGGGACTTGAGAGGGAGGGGCTTTCATGGAACGAATGAGAGAGGGAATTGTGTTTGGTGGAATGTTTGATACTATGATGCTAATTCCACTAATTACATCACGCAGTTTCACGCACAGTTCCCTCTTTTCTATTTTTTTTTACAACCAGCTCGACCATTCCAAGAAACCCGAATTCGCCCTACCTAACAGGTCTATAACTATGCCACTCAAGGAGGGCTCTCGCAAAGCAAAGCTTGGCCCAACTGCGTCGAAACGATTAGCCCAAATCACAAAATTACCAGCGTACTCCAACAAGGAAGACTCACAACGGGGAGAGCACAGCACTGAGCCTCCTGTCCGATAGACGCGCACATGGCTATG